TGGTCCTACACATTCTGCCACAGAATTCTCCAAGCATAGTTCAAGGTGCCCCCTCTTAGTCACTCCCGTCCCAAGCCATTACCACTAAGGTTAACACATACTGAGGATATTAAAGTGCTCGTCTCCTAAAACTCTCTTAGAGTCATTGAGTTTCTGAGGTCACTACAAGCAACCTTTGTCAAACAGAAGAGCTTTTGTGTACAGTTTTTTTTGAATGTTTGCAATAACCTGCGGGTCCATGGGCTGCAGGAGAGGAGTGGTATTAGAGGACAAAAAGCTTCACCTTAAGAACTCATGTCCCCCATAAAGTCCTCAGCCACGATCTGTATATGACCAGTGGGCATTGTCCAAACACCAATAGGCACTTCAGTCAAATTTCTTTCAGTAGGTAATCTTTCAACAATTGGGGCAAATGCATGGTGTAACCAGTCCAAAGAAATAGTTCCCTAGTGACCCCGATGCCTTTATACTGTTTGCCCTCCACAGCACACACAAATTAGCCTTGAGGATATTCTTTTGCCTGAACAATCTGAGGAGTTTCTGAGGATGAACACTAATAAAGGCTTCACTGCAATCAATCACTAGCATTGGAACACATCAATCAGAGTAAGCCTGTCTTCATAGGCTATGTCCTGGGAGGCCTTTTTTTTATTTAGTTTTTTTTTTTTTTTGTTTTTTGTTGTATTTTTTTTTTTTTTGTGGTGTTTTTTTTTTTTTTTTTTTTTTATTTTTTTTTTTTTTGTTTTTTTTTTTTTTTTTGTGTGTTGTGTTTTTTCTTTTTTTTTTTTTTCTTTTTTTATCTTTTTTTTTTTTTTTTGGTGTTTTTTTTTATTTTTTTTTTTGTGTTTTTTTTTATTTTTTTTTGTGTGGGTTGTGTTGGGGGGGGGTTGTTTTTGTTTTTGGTTTTTTTTTTTTTTTTTTTTTTGTTTTGTTTTTTTTTTTTTTTTTTTTTTTTTTTTTTTTCCTTTTTATGGGGGTTTTTTTTGGGGGTGGTCGGTGGGGGTGGGGGGGGGGGGGGGGGGGGGCGGTGGGTGGTTGTGTTTTTTTTTTTTTTTATTTTGTGGTGGGGTTTTTTTTTTTTTTTTGTTTTTGGTTTTTTTTTTTGTTTTTGGGTGGTGGGGGGGGGGGGGGGGGGGGGGGGGTGAGGGGGAGGAGGGGGGGGGGGGGGGGGGGGGGGGGGGGGGGGGGGGGGGGGGGGGGGGGGGGGGGGAGGGGGGGGGGGGGAGGGGGGGGGGGGAGGGGGGGGGGGGGGGGGGGGGGGGGGGGGGGGGGGGGGGGAGGGGGGGTTGGTTGTTTGTTGTTGGGTGGGGGGGGGGGGGTGTGTGGGGGGGGGGGTTTTGTTTTTTGTTTTTTTGGGTGGGTTTTGGTGGAGTTTGGTGGGGGGGGGGGGGTGGGGGGGGGGGGGGGTGATTTGTGGGTTGGGGGGCTGTGTTTTTTGTGGGGGGGGGGGGGGGGTTGTTGGGGGAGGGGGGGGGGGGGGGGGGGGGGGTGGGGGGGGGGGGGGGGGGGGGGGGGGGGGGGGGGGGGGGGGGGGAGGGGTGGCGGGGGGAGTGTTTTTGTGTGGGTTTTGTGGTGGGTGGGGGTGGGGGTTGGGGAAAGGGGGGGGGTTTTTTGTTTGTTTGTGGGGTTTTTGTGGTGGGTTTTTTTTGGTTTTTTTTTATTGTTTTTGTTGGGAGGGGGGGGTGGTGTGGTGGGGTGGGGGTTTTTTTTTTTTTTTTTTTTTTTTTTTTTTTTTTTGTTAGTGGGGGGGTGTTTTTTTATTTTATTTTTATTATTTTTTTTTTGGGTTTTTTAGTTTTTTTTTTTTTTTTTTTTTTTCTTTTTTTTTTTCTTTTTTTTTTTTTTTTTTATTTTTTTCTTTATTTCTTTTTGTTTTGTTATTTTTTTTTTTTTTTTTTTATTTTTTTTTTTTAATTTTTTTATTTATTTTTTATTTAATATTTTTATTTTTTTTTTCCTCCTGAGTATGTAGGACGCTGAGCTTGGCATTCTCTTCCAAAACAGCTGTTTCATCACAATTAAACACTATGTTCATGTTTCAGTCCTCCTCTCACTGGTCTATGTACTCCTTGAATTCCGTTCACATAATTTTCAGCTGCTTTGTGGTCTCCGAGACTGGCAGCCCTCACCATAGCCTTATCGACGACTATGTATGCCACTACGCTCTTAAATCTCTCATACCAACCTTTGCTGGCCTTAAATTCACTACACATAATCACTAGTTGCAGGATTTTTTACTCTTAATTAAATCCTGAGCAACTTCCTAGCCTTTTCACTCATAGATCACTTGAGAGATGACTAATCTCCCTGCTATCTGTTTTTCCATTATCCACACCAATAAGAGTCTCTCAACATCTTCCAGCACTTGCGACCACTGTTTTCGAAAACAACATTAGAAACTTTGGCAGAGAACAGCTTCCTTGATTGCCTCCTTTGTTGCCCACAATAGTAGTGATGGTTGACGGGTTCATATTATACCAACCTGGCCATCTCGGAGACACGCACTCCACTTCTACTTATCAATGATCTCCTTTCTTCATCTCTATAGTATTTATCCACCCGTTAATCCTGTAAGGGTTGGGCGCACTAGAAGCTTTCCCTTGGGCCCATGGTCACTTATTTTGCAGATAAAATCACCAAAAACACTGTAATAACACGAAATTTCCGCTTGTATGCTTGGGAGGTTACCGCGGGAGGCTGGCTGGTAAACAATGCCACCAGCGGAACATGTGAGACTGGCTAAGGGCCGCACTTTAACGCATCTCGAGTACGACACAGCGTTAGCGGTTGTAATTTTCTTAGCGAGTATGCAGGCAAAAAATCTTAGAGCGATAAAAAGTATCGGATGCGGATTTAACATTATGTATGGCCAACGTATGGGTGGACCAACTAGATACATGTTCTAAACTGGTTTTATTTCGAGCACCTCTGCAAACACAGTGATAATGTGTGAGTGGTGGTGAAAGAGTGGTTGAATTGATGAAAAAGTTATTTTCTCTTTTTCTGGTATTTTTCTTTCTTTTTGGGCCACCCTGCCTTCGGTGGAGATGGCTGACTTGTTGACAAAAAAAGAAAAATTATTGACATTAGGAACCTGGAGCACCAATCCCCAATTCCCTATATCAAGAGCCCCACCCCAGCATCCCAGGTTCATTCCTACAGGTGCTGGGCCACTTGATCAGGGAAATGGTATCTGTGCATTCAAGTTCCCTAAATATTAATTATAAATAACCCTTAGTAGGGGATTTTTCGTCGAACTATTACGTTATAAACCGCGTCAGGGTTTTTTCTGACGACTAGTACTCATAAATTCTAGCGGGCCCTCAAATCTATTGGGAGAGAAGCCTGGTAGGCCCTTCATATGCAATGAATGGGTCTATGATGGTCAGTGTGCAACAGTCAAGCAAAAAAATCCTGCAGCACACAGTGCCATAATGAAAAAAAAAAAAACTTTGACCATTTGTTATTGGCGAATAAATCAGACCTCTTTAGCAGTGTCTTTTCGTATGGTAACTATAATTGGTGTATTCCTAGTTTTCTTGGTCTCCATTTTATAGAATGGAAGCACATATTAACAGATAAATTGAGATGATTTCTGACTGGTCTATAACAAAGAAAAGGTGCCTTGAAATTGAGCTCAAAGTAGCAGAAATGTTCGATTTATAACTCAAACAGCAAAAGTAAACAAATCGTGCCAAGCGTGCAATACACGTCAACAAGGTGAGTCTAATGATTCTTTCACCTTCACCAATAATATTAATACCATTTTTTACACTAAGGGCAAGTAGTCTCATAACAGTAAATCTATATTTTTGTGAAAGGTAAAAATTCAAAGTGAAGCAAAAGAATATAAGAGGGACTTGATACATGAACTAATGACTAAAGGAAATGTCATTATTAGTGCCAAGGAAATGTCCTTTCTTGTTTATTCTGAGAGGACCCTATTTCCGAAATGGCATCTTTTGAAACTTTGTGTGAAATTGCAAAATTGCTAAATTCCAGACCACTGTACGGGATAGTTGAATTTCATAAATGAGTCTGGTTTACTTGGCATCCATTCGATAGAAAAAATGGAGCGTTCAAGCGGAAATATTCATGTTTTTTTGTCGACTAGTACAGTGAAATTGGCCAAAATCGGGGGCTCAAAGTGCAAAATTCGCCGATGCGTAAACATCGCCGAGACCGCTACCACTTTGCGAGAGCATAATTCCGTAAAGTTTTCAATCAAATTTAAGCAACAACTCTTTGGTGTCTTTTATGATCGGAAAAAGATTCTCTATCTTTTCATAAGAGAAAAAATATTTTTTTTTTTTTTTAAATTTGGCCGACCCTGAGAACGAGTTTCGGAGAGGGCCTGTCCGACCCACAAAGGGGTTAATAATAAAAATGAACTTTGCTGCTCACACTAGGTGGCATAGCACACTGTTTACCTGGATCATGGAAGTTATATGTCTCCCTGTGCTTTGCTTGCTTTTGACAGTTTATTTCGCCAAACTCTTCTTTTTTCTGATCATGGGGGGTCCTAGAAAGTAATGGAACGCAATCTCAGTCTAAAACCTGTTGTTCAAGCATGCCTTGCGGAAAGGAAGCTCTCACTTCCCTGGCGAATTGGGACTCTCCTCTTCCCCAAGTGATAGTTCTAACACTGAGGAAGTGGTATCTGAAAGGAATTCTAATGATTTTTGAACCATATGGAGCCATTACACCATATAGGTACAATGGATCCCCTGATAGATACTGCCAAGTATAATGAAGGGCATTGAGAAAGAGTGATGTGCCTATACAAATGAATACATGACACTGCTGCCACAATCAAATGGAATTTATAGAAATTTACTTTACCAGCCCTAACCAATATAGATTTTTTTTTTTAACACACTGGCACTCTTAGACTGAGATTGGGTGATCCAAAAAGAGAGAGGGAACACATTCACTGTCATTCATTAACTCACTATATGTATACACCACTCTTAAAAATATATGTCCAGATTGTTTTGTACCTCGGCCTCCACCTCCTCCTCTGCCTCCACGACCACCCTCCCTCTTCCTCCTCGTCCTCGTCTCTACCACCTCTACCACGTCCTTTATTTGGTACAAAACCAGGAAGGAACATGAAGAGAGGCAGCAATTTTTTAGAATCTATATATATCTGAAAAAAAAAATATACTGTATTGAAAGATTGAGCACAGAATTAGATATGATTACACCTACCATCCGACTTACGACCTGCTCAACTTACAACCACTAAACTTACGCCCGGGTTTTTTTAGCCAAATTTTTGGGAAATAAAAAAAATTTTTGTTTGTACCAGTGTTTTCCAAAACCTTACAAAATTTTAAAATGCTTAAACCCAAAGGCGTCAACTGCCCCGGAGAGGATGGTATAATATGATTTTCTCAAACTCTAAGCCGGGCCTGAAAACCCTTTGTTGGCACTGTATAATCTCAGTTACATTGGGGCTTCTTTCCTATTTCCCGGGACCAATGTCCATTGTGCTATCCCTAAGCCCCACGCCTGATACATTTACCCAATCCCCTTAAACTAGTTGTCTTTGCAAAATTTTTGAAAGAATGATGCTTAAAAATTGTATCCAAAAATCGACATCAACTTTCCCCTACCTTTTGGGGTTTCGAAAGGAAAAAGTGTGCAGAACGTATTTCCCCCCTTTCTCCTGCACACACCTCTACTAGTTTTACCACTTTTCTTGACAAAATCTGCTTTTGATATTGCAAAACAAAACCTTTTATATAATAACTACCAAAAATGAATATTGGGGTAGCTACCCGGGAAAAGGATCCCGTCAAATGGATCCTCTGTCCTTTCCAAGGCTTCAGAAGTGATTCAAAGAATTCTTTGGGTAAAACCGCAGGGAGGATTCTTAGTCCCATGCTATTTAATATTCTGTTTAATGCTCCCTAAAGCCCCCTGCCTCACCTAAAATATAGCAAAGCTTGCGAATACATGATCCATAAACCCAGGGTAAAAAGATAATCCCATTTTAATAAATTTCAAGCAATTTGTAATCGACTGGGCCCTCATAAACTTCCTCTAAAACAAAGATATTAACAACAAACGACATCCCCCCCATCATTTGCAGGGTGAATCATTAGCTACTTTAAACTTAAATCTTGGTGAGATGTACCCTTTAACAAATCCCTATCCCACAACTAAAAAGAAATGTAAAGCTAGGCAAAAGCTCTAAAAGCGTTGTGGTACAACCCAACTATGGTGCTAATGTGAGAATCGGGGAAAATGGTACATACCTATTTTTTTTCCTTAACCCTTTCGGGCCCGCCCGTGATCTACGCGGGTTTCGGTGAGTGCCCAAAACCGTAATCACGCCAAAAATCAAAGCGCCGTAAATTTACCAAAAGGGCCCCATAGGCCTCCCAAAAGGGAAAATGGGTCTGCGCCGTGGGTGGCCCGTAAACAAAAAATTCTAGGCGCTGCATAGCTTGTGGGACGCCGGCTCAGTCACCCTTGTTCACCATGTCCGCCCGCAGTCAGCTCTCACTCCCCGGAAATTGGGACTCTCCTCTTCCTTCTATAGTTTCTACACTGATGAGTGGAAAGAAGACGAATCTAAACGGCTTTGATAAGTTGGGACCGAAAGTAATTGACCAGATATGATAATAGTGCAGAAAACCCCGACGTCTCAGCTTCTAAACTGTGTGGCATCCATGACTCACGTGGTGTCCAAACTAATAAGAAATTACTTGGCCAGCCTCTACCAAAATATAGAGTTGTTTTTAACAGGGCGCTCTTAGACTGAGTAGTGGTGAGAAAAAACATGAAGGGAACACATTTCACTGTCCATGCCTCCAGTATTGAAACCCATCTTCCAACATTATTCCCGGATTTTCGTAACCCGGGCCTCCACCTTTCTGCTACGCCATTTTTGACTGCTGGCTCCTCTATCCACCGACCAGGGTCGTTTATTTGGTTATCACCCCAGGTGGAATCGCTGTGAGAGGCAACAATTCTTTAGAACTCTATTAAGAAAAAAAAAAACATTACAAGTATTGTCCAGTATCCACAGAAAGATCTGATTGCAGCAACCATCCCGATTTTGACCAGCCCTCACCACTCGATTTCGCAAGGGGATTTTTACCTACTTTCTTGGAAACAAATGAACTAATTCTTTGAAATTTTTCCTTTGACAGCCATTGATAATGATTAACAAAAGGTAAAATCAATGTCCTGGAAGATGGTATAACCTAGATATTCTCAGCACTCAAGGCACAGGGGGAAAAACGTTTGTTGGCAATGTATTTCTTGTTAAAAATTGAGCTTCATTCCTAATTCATCTGGCCACAGATCGGCTAATTGTACCATCCTTAGTGCCAAATACAGCCTGATACATTTAATCTACTTAACTAGTTGCCTTCTTGCAAAACTGTTGAAGAATGATGGTTAAAAAGATTGTTTTCATGACAAAAATCAGAAAATAACTTTCTACTCTATTCATGAATTGTAAAATTTTGTGCAGAACTGTATTCAGCATATATACCATGCAAAAAACCGCTTTAAAAAGTTTACTTTCTTGATTTAAATGCCTGTGATGATATTGTTGAACCGGTAGTAAAACTTTGAAGTACCAAAATGAATATTGGGTGGTAGCTTACTCTGCTGGGATAATTATGATACCGGGTACAAACCCATATCCTCTGTTTCTACCAGAGCAAGACAGAAGTGTGGCAAAGTGCGTTTTAATTTAAAACCCAGGGAGGAGTTTCTTGATGCGCCATGTTTTAACATCTGATTACTCTCCTTTAATTGTTACCGCCTCACCTAAAAATTAAGGGCTATAAGTATCGATGATAATCTTTGAACCATGACAGGGATTAGAAGAAAACATTCGCTTGGTACAAGTTCATGCAATTTGTTGACTGGTCATAATATCTTAAAACAAAGATATAACAAGCAAACGACATCCCATCCATCTATTTGCAGGGCGAAATGCATATAATAGCTACCATTAAAACTTACAGAACTGGTGTAATGTACCCTTTACAATCCTATCGACAACTAATAAAAAAAGTAAAGCTAACTAAACCTCTCAAAGCTGTTGATCTACAATATCCCAAAGGTGCTAATGGAGAATCGTGAGATGATCTACATAGCTTCTTAGGTCCAAAAGAATTATTTAAAGATGTTTGTCTGTGCACAACCCAAAAATCGACGGCAATCAAAGACTCAAAAGACATCGATTTCATGGGAGGAACTGCAAAGGTGTTGTGCTGAGTTGTTTAAAAAGGAGTTCAACAAGCTCGGTCTAAACCCATGTCCAAGTTAAATATGTAAGATAATGATAGAACTTGTACATATACAATATTTTGCAATGTTTATTGAATAAAACACAACAGGGGAAACAAATGATAATAACTCTTAGTGCGGTTATTTGTTCAATTTCAGGATTTAATATAATTATAAACAGTAGGTTATCCCCATGTTATCAAATAGAAAATTACAGAAAAAAATAAAAAACAATTAACAAACATAATGTGTAGGGAATTCTCCATTTGCCCCACCGACATCATTTGCTAGGTCACTGTCTCTCTCGGGCTGACAGCCATTGTTAAACCCAGCAATATGCCCCTTAAATTCTGTAAGTTTTTTTTTCACGGCACTGGTCGGACTTCCCAGAGGCTTGAAGCCAGTTAGGTCCTTAATTGATTATGCTGCTCCCATGTTGATATTAGCTAGAGAAAGTTCCCTCCGACCCTTGGAGTTAATGCAAAATGAAGCTCTCAGGACTATTCTTGGCTGTCCCAGATCTACATGAGGAAGGAGCTTGGTATTTCTAGTATCAGTGATAGGATTGTTGAAATTAACACTGTACTCGGTATTAGAATGTTGAGAAACAAACCAGACACTGTCACAGTGAATCTTACCAAGTGTCTAGAGTTAAATACACACAGATCTAAATGGATTGTGAAAACGTGCAATTGCATTAAGTTTTATAACCTGCATGAACTGTATCACTGTAGGCAACAAGAGCATTTCACCCCTCCATGGAAGATGTGTTCATTTAATATCACATACCTACAAGTCCCTCCCAAGAAGCTCATTGCTAATAATCCCTTCCTTAAATCTCTTGTTAGAGCAACTGCTCAAGAAGAAATTTTTCGCCTAGCTGGTAGTAATAAGTTATCACAAGTTATATACACTGATGAATCTAAACAGGAGTCTTCTGGCAGGGCTGCATCTGCTCTTGTTGCCACCTCCCTAGTTAAGAACGATAATAAATTTGTTGAGTTAGGCATAAGAATTAACAACTGGCGTCTACACTGCAAACTGAATTGTTTGCAATCCTAATGGCGCTAAAGCTAACCTATGACACTGAGCTTGACTCTATCATCATTACTGATTCTATGTCATCATTGAAGGCTCTTGGCTCATATAATGACTCCAACAACATGCTCATTGGGGAAGCCAGGTATAGATACTCAAAAATTAGGGACAAAGGGAATTAATGTACAATTGCTATGGATCCCATCACACATTGGATTACTCCTTCATGATAAAGTTGATATGTTAGCCAAGAAGAGTATCCAGAAGGAGAACGTAGAATATAACTTTGGTATAACTGTGTCTAGCATTAGGAATAATATTAGGAGAGAAGTAAATAATGAAGATGATTGTTATAGGAATGCAGTTAGAAGCCTGAGTAGATCTATAACCCACTATGATAACATGAACGTAGATAAGTATGTTTATGGAGCAACTTGCAAATGTGAACAGACTGACTGATGTTGTAGTGGCCAGGCTTAGGCTTGGTTACAAGTACTTCTGGCAGTTTGGGAGACACACAGATGATGATCAAACTAAATGTAAATTATGTGATCAGGCATATGGTCACTCTCTTGAACACTATGTGCTTAATTGTCCACTTATTGAGGAATACAGAGACAGACAGTATAATAACCTATGTGACATGTCAAGATATCTTATTAATGAAAATAAGATACCAGATATACTAAGCAAATTTCCTAAATTTGCTTGTAACAGATAAGTGAACTATAGATATGTAGATATAAATCCATATGTATTCTGTTAACCCTTTGGGGCCTAGTTCCTAGGCCTTTTTGTGTATCACATGCTCTCGCTACCGTCCACAGGATGGGTAGGGGTGCACAATAAAATAGC